CCCCCCCACCCCCTTTGTGTGCGCCGCGGCAGCAAACAAAATACATGTTGTGAATTTCAGATCTTTTTTTGAAATGAATTTGGCCTGAAGACTGAGACAATTACAGAGACGAGGACGGACTGTAGCGCTTGCTGTGTGTCTCTGTTTGAGAGAGCCAGAGCGACAGAGAGAACATGGAAGGTGGACTATTGCACATACCTTTAAAAAATACATATCATTTCTTCATGGCAGAAAAACACTGGCTGTGAGGTGCAGCGCCTTTCTAAAAAGTTCAGAGATTTGCAACCTGAAGCCCTCGGAGCGCCCGCACGAAAAAGTTGCTTTATGGACATTCAGCCAACGTTACTAATAACAATCACTGGAATGTTAAGAATGAAGCTTTGAGGTAACGAACCACACAACACTTTTCCAGCGTTCCCCCACCCAAACGGCCGCTACGCAAGAATATCAGTATATTAAACCGGTCTGCGGTGCAAAAATAATTGGGCTTTAATGTTAACTTTTTTCTCATACAAATAACACAAATCCTTTGATCTCACTAGGACTCACTGTGTGTCAGCTACACAAACATAAGCTCCACTTCTACTCGTGACTGAATAGTTTGTGACGTCACAACCTCACAGAAGCCTCTGAATACTGTCTGTGTGCATTTCTCTGATTGAGCCTTTGAACATTCACAGTTTTATACAGCACCTCGATCTGCTTTATAAAAATAACAAAATAATACAAATCTATCTTTCTATATAATGGGGACCTTTAATATAAATAAATAATAAATAATGATTTGAACATATTCTGCTATTTTCTGACATTCTTTAGACGAAACCAATTAACTAACTAATTAAAAAATAAGAAACTACTCTCACATCCCTCACTGAAGAAAAGGCAGAAAACGCATTGATGAGGAAAATTGGATGCACAATACAAGAGAGCTGAAACACTTCATGTAATAATGGATTTAATGTAACAGCTCGGCTCAGACTGATGATGGATATCACAGCATCTGATGATGGATTTGTAACTTCACCTGCTCTTCGACTTCACATTGATTTATATTCACACTTGGGAAGCTGCACAGTACTACCCAAGTCTTCCAGAAAATGGAGGAGGAGGAGGAGGAGGAGGAGGAGGAGGAGGAGGAGGAGGAGGAGGAGATGACTGCACTGGAGGATGGGAGATAGTACAGAGATGAAGGCAAGGGGAGATATGAGGGAGGTGGGTGACAAGAAAAGGGAGGGAGGGAGGGAGGAGGAAAGGAAGCGAAAAGCAGAAGCAAAAGGAGTAATCAAGGGAGTTGGAAAAAGGCAGAAAATGGGATAAGGGGGACAAAGAGGGAGTCAGAAGAGGAGGAAGAAAGACGAGACAGAGATGGAGGAGTGATGTCATACAGGAATTGTCATGCCGCTTTGCTTTGACGGGATGCACTGTTCAAATGCTTCCTCCGTAAATAACGTTTCCTCCGTAAATAACGTCGGGGAGTGAGGCAGAGAGAGGAGACAGATAAACGGTGAATCATGAGAGAGATGGTAAAAAGACTGAAGGGAGAGACAGACAGAGCCAGATGATGATGTAAGAGAGACAAGGCGTACGAGTATGGATGATGAAAAGGAATGCATCATGGGAGTTTTAATAACACGGTACGTCAAATCTGCTAAGGACTGCGGACGCTGCTTGTCTCAAAGTGTGTGTTTGCTTGTCTCGTTAAACATTTGAACCCTCATCTGCATCTGGTAGCATCACTCCCCCGCCGCCTCCTCCCCCTCCCTCCCACCTCCAAACAAGATGAGCATGTGTATATTTTATGGCAAGTGTACTTTGCGGGCCCCCCCAGGCAGATAATAAACTTCCCTCGTTGAAGACAAGAGGCGCCTGAGCGGCAGGCAGTGCTGAGACGGCGGGATTTCCCCCCTGCACTGCGGTTGCTGCGAGCATGTATTATTTAAAAGTTCTTTTTTTTCTCCCCACTTCTCGCGCCTCGTTTGGGAGCCGTGATCCTGATGGGGTTGCACAGGTTACAACAGCCAGTTGGGGCTCCTGAGGCGAGGAAGAGCAACAAGCTAACAGGTTAAGAAAGACAAACGGGTCCTGTATTTGAAACGAGGCGGGGACGGCAGCCTCGTGTTAACAATACAAAAATATATCTATCTACAAAAGCAGAGGATGGGTGGTTTCTGTTTAAAGTAAGAGGTGTTGCAACAGATGTGCAGCTTTGACTTGTGGATTACAGCAGGAATGAAGCAGGAAAAGAGTTCAACAGTAGAAGGTTATTATTGGTAACAAGACTCAGTGTCTCCTTGTAACTCCATTCTGCTGTTTGCCATCCTTACATTACATTACAGTCTTTTAGCAGACACTTTTATCCAAAGCGACTTACAATTCAGAGTCTATCACATTTCTACACCGTAGGCACAGCTACGGGAGCAATTTTGGGGTTAAGTGTCTTGCTCTAGGACACAATCGGCATGCGACTAGCGGAGCCGGAGCTCGAACCGCCGACCCTCTGATTGAAAGACCGCCCTGCTATCCACTTAGCCACAGTAACCCCCATCCTGATTGGAAAGGACTGTATTTCTGTTTTCACCCCCAACTCATCAAATACGACAGCGCGTCAAAGTCAAAGCGTAATAAAGTGAGCGTAGGGAGGAGGTCGGGATAGACGGTTGGTTCCAAAATCACAGAACTTTCCAACTCATCTCAACTAGTCAAACGCATCCTCTTACATCGGTTCGTATGATATCCTGCGAAAAGTTGCTCCTCATTTGTTGTGCATTTTCCTCCGATAGCCAGCAAAATGTGTCAATTTCCGCTTGTTACATTCATTCAAACTTTGTTAAAATAACCTTCCTTCATCACAGAAAACTCAGTTAGGTTTAGGCAACACAACTACTTAGTTTGGTCTCTGAAAGGATGATAGTTTGGGGTAAAATAACCACAGAAGTGCCGTTGCAGAAGTACGCAAGTCACGTGACAAAAACATCAACATTGACTTCTCAATGTCTCCTGGTTAAAAGATCGCCGTCTGTTGGACCCATCCACCTCCCCTCCCGTCCGCCCTGTGTGGGCTTTTGCATTCTTTCTACGTCCTCGTTCAAGATTACGAGGACGACATACGAAAACATTTCGTGGGATATTTACCCAGACTTGAGGTTTTCAATGGCCTCCTCCACACCCTTCTGGTTGTTCCGGATCATGTACTGGTGCATGTTGGGGTAGTTGGAGCGGATGTTCTCCTCTGTGCTGCCGTTCGGCACCGTTCCGAAACGCAGCGGCGGGTACTGCTCCGTTGGCTGCTGGAACTACGCACGAGAAGAAGACGAGAAAGAGTAAAGCCGTAGAAGGAAGTTAAAGAGAGGTAGGTGGGAAGAGGTGGAGGAGGAGCAGGGTGAACTTCTGCAAAGAGTCGACGTCTTCACTTTGAAGGAACGGCCTCTCTGCCACACTTTCCCGAGCAGCTGAGGGGGGAGACTGATGAAAGAGATGATGTTTTAAAGTGTCAGAGTAGCAGGATTGTGTGGGTTCTGCTGAAACTGCACTGAGAAAGTGAAGAAGAGGGAGTATTTCACTTCTTTCTGTTAACTCAAGCTATTCTGAAGTTGCCCACCTGTTGTGGACATAGACGAGAAACAAAACCACATTTGTAGGATGATGAAATTTTCCGTTCTCGCTCTCTCTCACCTGTTTGTTTACTTTTAGAAACTAACTTCAGGTTATGTAAACGTACAGTATTCACGTATCGTACGCACATCCATCCATTAACCCCATCCCTCCCAGACGGTATACCTTCTTATCCGACAGCCCTGACACCGTGTCGATGTATTCCTCCTGGATCATGAAGGCAGCCAGGTTGGCAGTGTAGGAGGCCAGGAAGATGACAGCGAAGAAGGCCCACACCAGCACCTGGAGGAGGACGACCAAGGAGGGCTCAGTCTGACAGGTGTGGAAGTATTTTAAGATTTCAGTGACACTTTTTTTTCTCTTCTTGGCATTTCATTGCTGAACCCGCAGCTGGTGCGGTGTCTTGCCTGGAGGGTTGAGTAGTATTTATCAGCATGACTCTTGAGCCTCCGAGAAAAGAAAGTGTCCTTTTCTTACTTGAACTTAAAGTTATCATAATGATAAAGTGACAAGTTGGAAATCTCTTTCTGGAGCCTGACATTATATCTTATTATGTCCGGCACAGTCATATACATGAATAATGAAAAACACAGTGAATTAACACAGATACTTTATTTAAGTACACATTTGAGGTACTCTGTATGAGCATTTACCTTTTATGCAATTTGATACTGTTACCTAACAGCTGTAGTTACTTGGTATTTTGCTACAAAAGCTTTGCAGATAACACACCTGCACCAAAGTAAAGTTTCTAGAACAGGACATTTACCTACAATGGAGTATTTTCACGGTAGTATTGCCTCTTAAGTAACAGATTTAAGTACAATTCCCACTACTTGATAACACCAGTTGACCCAAATTACTGTAGCACATAAAAACGATCCTTTGAATGGTCATTTAAGGAGTTGGTGTGAAGACTTTGAGATGTACAGAAGTGTTGGCTTTTATTCCTGCAAGATGCTGCACTGTTGACATTCAGCCAGGATGAGAGACGTGGATTAGTTCCCGCTCTAACTTTGCACTTGCAGTCGGTGATGAACGGGGCTGTTTGCTTCCACAGTGCTCTGTGTTTATGCCAAAAGTTAATTTGCATAATTTTCTTAATGAACACAATGAACAATGCACAGTCTCCGCTCTGGCAACAGAGGCGTAATTTAAAAAGAACTAATCTTAGTGGATGGGAATTAAGTGTTTTGCTGGAGGACGCTTCAGATGGAGGATTCGTCCTAACAGGGGGGTTGAAGGATGGACTCCTCACGTACAATGACTTCCTGGTGAGGTTCTTGAGCCCTCGGCTGATGTAGATCCTATTAGACTTTAATGTATGACATCAATTATACATGGTTGTCATTCATCGATAGAGAGCATGCTGGGATGGACAGTGATGACCCTGAACTGGCTTATGCAAGAGAAATTCACAATTAAATGAAAGTCATTTTGAGCACAAGCTTTCAATTAAAGATGACTTTTTATCTTTTGTGTTGCTTGTGATTAGTTGCGGCTGTGTGAAATGATAGTTATAAGTGGTATAAAATAAAAACATTGCAGCCCATCAAACCGACTCCTGCCACAAGGTGCGTAAAGCAAACCAGTTTAACTAAAGACTACAACATTTCCAGAGAAAAATAGCTGAGAACCTCTCCTCTGACCCCCTTTTGTAAAGCCCATTGAGCAGCTAATGAGCTCCTGTGATGATTGGGGTTGTTGTGGAAAGCACTTGTGACAGCAGAAGAAAAAAGACACCCTGAGTTCCTTGCCTCCTGTGGCTCTTTGCTCTGCAGAGGGGCTAGCTTTGAACTGATTTTTCTCTTCATGTCGTGGGAACATAGAGTAACAGCAGGTATTAAAAATACCACTGCTGTGAAACAAGTGAATGAACCTGTCTCAACCTGATTGCACTGGCTCGTAAAATCCACAAATGTATTTTCATTTTTAAATGGGGGCACGCATATATATATATATATTATTATCATACTATATACATATAGTATAATAATAATAAAGTAAAATAAATAATAATAAATAAAAGGTGAATAATCATACAATCAAAGTACAAGTACCTCAAATGTGTTCATAAATACAGTATCTGTGTTAATCTACCGTGTTTTTTAAACTCTTCTATAAATTATAAAAATGATCTGATTCTGATAAATGATGAAATAAGCGTGCCGCCATTTAAAGTGTGTGTGCTTGATTTGCTCACGACTCGTGGCGATAATAGACCAGACGGCAAAACTATGGCTGAAGATAGCGAGCCGGTCATGCAGCACTGTGCTGCCGCTCGTCCTGTGGAAACAGACACATTGGTTTACATGGGCGCCAAGAGGACGAGGGGGCGGAGCTAATTTAAAAAATCTTGACTCTTGGAACGTGGTGTGAGAGGGAAAACCTCCAGAAATGTTAACGTCAAGATAAACTTGTAGATGTAGCGATGTTGTATAACATTTTACCTGTCAATACAATTTTAATTTAAACTGCATACATACTTAATTAACGACTAATTCTGCCCATTGAACATTGCCCGTAATGTGGTGAGTCTCTGCAAAAATGTATTTAATTAATAATTTCACATTTGATTAACAGCGTCGTTATTAGACATCTAGCTTACATACAACAGCTGTTTAGCTCTGTTTGAATCAATCTCTGGTGTGGTTCAATGTTGTGCGATGTGTTTAAATGAAACAATCACGTGATCAGACAATCAACAGCTCAGCCAGTCGCTGAGTCAGGTGGAGTGACTCACCATGATCTTGCTGGTGGTTCCTCTGGGATTCTCCACAGGCACAGAGTTGTTGAAGACCAGCGCCCAGAGCAGCCAGACGGACTTCCCGATGGTGAACTTGGATCCACCTGACTCTGAGAGATAGAAATCAGGATTTTAGGAGAAACTAGCAGGTGGATATTAAGCTAGGTCGCGTCACATCTAAAGTTAGATAATGAGAACGATGGTACAGTTAATATGCAAGACCAAGCCAATTGGTTAACATTCCAAAATCATGGGCATTAATCTGCACCGAAGAAAGGTCTGTATTGTATTGTATTTCTTTTAACCAATCACAATCTTCTTGGGCAGCGTGAAGAACAAGATGCAGCGACGGTGCCCTTTCAGAATGCCGGCTGGAATAGGCGGCCGACGGCAAACTTATAGCGTCTGAATCCAGTGAGTCTAGATCTCTGCTGGTAAGAAGAGCAGTGAGGGTGCGTATGGGCTTCTTCAGTTCCTAACAGCTGGTTAGTGGACTTTTCAACCACTTTCCACATACTGTTGTTGGAAGTTTTATAGCATCAGAGCATTAGGTAACGAGGAATGGAGCGTGTTTCAGAAGGAAGAGGGACAGAAGCAAAGGTGTTTTAGCACAGAAGACACTAGAAGCGACAACACACACCTACCTGTCACTCCGGGTCTGAATGATTCCACTTGTGTCAGTTTACAATAAAGTAATGAATAACATTTCCGAATGATTATTAAAAATGAATGCCGCAGCCAGTAAACGGTTTGGAACAAACGATGAACTGACAAGTACTGTAAAAATGTCAAAAATCAAACCACCACCGCGCCGTCGCTGTTGTTTTTATTATAAATAAACAAGCGTGGGTGTGGAGTGATTGTTTCGACAGTGGGGAATAAAAGCGGGACGTTTTGCATAATTTGAGCAAATGCCCTCCTCAAATCAGCCCCCCCCCCCGGTTACATAACTGATGAAGTGACAAGTTGGTAATAATGCTGTGAAATGATGCCGTGGCAGTGGGTTGATTGGCGTCTCTTACTCTTGGCGCTCTGCAGGCTGCGATTGTATCCCACGGGGCTGAAGAACTCAAAGATGAAGACGGTGACAGCCACCACCGACAGGCACATCACAAACATCATCACCCACACCGCCGGGCTGTAGGGCTCTGCAACACACACACACACACATATGCAAATATCAGATACGGTCTCAGAAGTTAGGCTGTCATCTATAAAGTACAATTTTATCAAATGTCTGTCACGGCTGGACAAATAAACCGTGTCCTGCTTGTACAGTAAAACAAAAAACCAAGTTGTAACTTGAGATGAGTTTGAATTTGAATGCTTCGGTTTAGTTATTTTGTCAACCGCAAACCACAGAAACGGACACTCTTTAATGTTTAGGCAACAAAACCACTCTGTTAGGTTCAGGAGAACATAACTTCACAATAATGAAAACTCTTCTTGTGATTTGAAGTCCCGTCCACTTCTCCTCTCACACATCATCAGTATTTGTTATCACTGTTTACACTACATCAGCTCTGACCTTTGCATTTTCACCTGGATGTGTTTAATTGTTGTGTTCACAATGACAAAATGATCCTCATTGACTGTCCATCAGCATTCTTTCCATGATTTTAACACGTGTCACAACCAGGAAACGTGTTTCTGTGATACCATGAGGGTTGAGCGTATTCACACTACTGCTGAAAAAGGAGGGTGTTGCGTTGCACGTTCCACGGTGGTCGGCTTGGTATTTACGACTCCATGACTCCCTGTGGTGCTGTAACGATAGGATGCTAATGTTGCTAGCAGGAGATTGTTACTTTCAGAGAAGTCAAACTGTGTTTTCATCTGCATGATGATATGTTGCCAAGCGCCTAGCTTTTTTTCACTGGTCTCAATTTGCAGCCGATGTGCTGTTGTACAGTTTTGTAGAGTAACCCCTGAAACCTATCGAGAGAGACTTCAGATATTTGGTCCAACGTATACTAGAGCACATTGATTTAAGGCAGCAAACTTTAAGTGTCAAAAAAGCAACAAAACGGCCAAGCGTGGCCAGCTGCAGAATTGGTAAGTATAGCATTTAAAATGCTCGTTGACATACTGATACTGTTAAATACACTGGGAACTGGCTGACAGCACCTTTCTTTAGCTACAACAGAACAGGGTGAAACAGAAACACATGATTGGTTGACGCTTCACCTCGACATTGGAGCGCTGAATAAAGACAAGCTCACAATACACAATAACAGAAAGAGCGTATTTGTTCCCTGCGGACTTTACGTGACCATTTCACTCACTGAGGCATTATGGGGAAAGAAAAATAGCTGGCATGTCATGAATTACACGTCACTTTGGTTGGCAAAAACAACATGTTCAGCATATCTTGGCAGATGCACAATGTGACTGAAAGGAAAACACTATGAGGCTGAGAGATGATGACTGTGAAAACAAACTGTGTACAGACTGTTGGTCACACTGCTTCCAGAGTCAATATAAGCTGCAACACTGTCTTCAGTAAAAGGTAATACATGTCTCAAACCTGGAGGGGTCCGACAGCTCACTACTGCATGACAAAGATAATGAGCATAAACAGCAGAGGTAAATGTCTCTGGGTGAAGACAGGAGGAGACTGTCTTTTCTCGTCTCGTCTATCTAAAGGATGTGGGTGCGAGTCTAACCGCCGGCTGAGCAAACGAGCAGCAAACTTCTGTGATTTTCCAAATTAGTGAGGGATTTGCTGCCGACACCGACGACAACAGCAGCAACAGCTGTAGCGCTAATCAAACTGAGAGACGGGCTGAGCTGCCGGGTCGACTCATGAACACCCTCGTCTCTCGGTGTTACATCCAGGAAGAGGCTGCGTGCTGACAAACCAAAGAGCAACAAGCGCGGTTTACAAATGAGGCTTTTAGCGGAAGCTCCCCTACAGAGAGAAGTACAGTGGGGGAGCAGGTGGAGAGGCTCGGGATTCATCCATTAAACTCACTGCCAGACAGGGTTAATATGCTTTTAAGGCCGCGTCTGTCAGACTGAGAGCCGTGAGGACTGAGAGGCTGCAGGTTTTATCTCCACCTCGGTTTGTCGCAGTGGACAGCATCACAGGCTTCGTTCATACCATTTCATTTTATTCTGGTTTTAGTGCCTAATGGTTTTCATCAGATTTTGGTAGAAAGAAAAACAAGTCATGAAATCATCCACACAAAAAACGTGGTTACACTTTTTTCTTTTGTAATCCCATCAGGCCAGGACGCGTTCATTTTCTAAGTCCGTACGCTTAGAGATCGGATCTTGTTCACATTGGGATCCGATCAAACGTAGGTCTCCATCATTTCCCCTCCAAACGGGAGTTCCTCTCCCGAGGAGAGCAAAAGGAAGAGGGGAGGTACACAGCTGAGACCTGCTGTCTGAGTCCTGTTCAGTTACTGCTGATGAGAAGACGCCTGTTAAACAACCAGGTTTCCTTTCAACTCGTTGTCAACATTACATGTTTTAAACTGTGGGAAACTAGATGTGTCACTGTGATAGATCAGACTGGTATACACAGTAAAACACACACTCACTGACCTCAGGAGGAGAACTCCAGATAAAAAACACATCGCTTCCTCCCTCAGCACAAACAGCACCTTTTCTATATCTGTTCCGGTTTTTGTATATTATGCATGTATATATAGATAAGTGGTGTATGTACAGCTGAGTTCTGATTTGATGCGTCCCTTCACAAAAGTCGGCCATTGTTTTTCATAAAACAAAATAAAGTCTAAAATGAGATGTCTTCAGCAATCATAAGGACATGAATAAAAGAACAGCTCAATATGAAAACCGCAAGTAATGTGAAGAAGAATAAAGAAGAGAAAAGGTCTTTTATTCAGAGCGTGCGTTGAGGGTGCGAGAGGCCGGTCTTCAAGAGCTCCTTGTGAAGGGCGATTACGCTTCTCACATTCTGGTTGAGGTCACCTGTTGCTAGGTGACTGGCAACAGGAATTGCAATTACGTTGTTCCATTTTTGTTAAATTCTTGATGATTATTTAGTTTCAAATTGTCTTCGATTGCACGGACACTCAAAACAGTAAATGAATAACTTTGTACAGTGAGAACAAACTGCAGCAGACTGTTCTTCCACACCGTTCTTAGCTCTTCCTACAAAAAGTAATGTTCTGTAGATTGTTTATTTCTGACAAATCAATTCATATATAATCCACGTATTTATGAACCAGGAACTATGAAGGCCGACAAACTCCACATCTGGAAGAGGACGGGGTGGATGTGCGGGTCCAAAAACACTGGACTTTCACCCAGGACACCGCTGTTCGTCAATGTTGATTTATTTTTCCCGTGAAACATAACCAGGATCTTCTCCTAAACCTAACTAAGGTGTTTAAGACGGAAGTTTATTTTGAAACTGCATACATGCATGAAACATTGCATTAAGTGGACATTCGTAGGTGATCCCATAGATGCTCCAGGAGTGTGATTCAATGTATGAGGGAAGTTACTGTACTGTAACCTGCTTTATATTTGACATTATGGAGACATCAGTAATTTTTCCATAATTGACATGAACTTCATGAGCTATTTACATGTGGCTTTATATTTTAATACTTATTTTCTGTAATATGTGTGTTTGCTTTGAGTGTAACATCAAACTTCTTCGCCTCGTAGCATTTGTTCAGCCCACGGGAGGTGATTTAAATGATTTGATTGGGCTTTTTGGTCAACCAAAGATGACAGCAGCTGAATTTACTGAGGGAAGAAGCTGTCTTTTTATTCAACAGGTCATCTTACCAGCAACAAAATCATGACTTTACTTGCATGTGAATCCTTGACGAACAGTAAATAATTGTTTGTTTCATACTCATTTTTAATTAGCATTATTAGTTTGATTTAAGATTTGTTGTTTTTTAACTGCGTCCCAGCACTGGATTGATTTCATGCATATTTGTCTGCTCGTGTTCTCTCGACAGGTGGAGACTGTTTATTATTTTGCATCCCGGTACAATGACTGCTGGATTTAATCCAGTCCGTCTCCCTGCGGTTAAATCAAAAAACGACTTGGCAGTGAAAGTGTGTAAATAATTACATGGTGCACCGCAAACACCGAAGATTCCGTTTGATTTATTGTCTTTGACTCTGACAGGCGAGGAGTGTAAAGCAGCTGCGTGTTGTGTTCAAAGTGCTGTCAGCCTTGTTTTATTCCTGTTTCATTCTACATTCATGCGCTCTCTCAGTGAGTCCCAGCAAGCTACACATCCACTTTGGACAACAGTACATCTATTTATATACCTATATTTAACCAGGGAACGTCAACAGAAGTCATATTATCATCTTTGTAAATGATGCCCTCTCTAAGATCCCCACCTGGGAGCTGCCGTGGACAACCCCAGCCTGGTGCAGGTTGCAGTGAGCCCATTCACTGGAGCAGGTGGGTTAAGGTTGGGGTTAATGAGGTTTACGTGCTCTTCCTCAAGGACATTTCAGCAGCAGTTTGCTACGTAAAGTGACAGCATTACTTATTCATTTGGCTTGCCAACAGAGTAGCGGTGACACAGAAGAGGCGGCTCGTGTATTTAGAAGACTATTTAAAGGTGCAACATGTTAGATCTGGCCAGCACGTGGATACATCTTACACATTGCACCTTTGAAGAGAGAAGTTGCATCACGGTGTCCCTGACTGCAGGTTTAGTGGCTCTCTTTAGTGAGAACCAGAGCAGCAGAGGACAAGGACACAGTAGAGTACGACATGTCACTCACTACATTCATATTAACATGACAATACTATTATGGAGAGTTATTACAGTGAGCTATTCTCCAATAAAGAGGTTTGAATGGATTCCATTAATATTCCATATGGGACATTTGACCACCAGAGTATTTCCATACATGGCCTCGCTGCTCTTATTACTGCTATATCATGCAACTGGAGTGTTTATTATGCAAATATCATGTGCATATATTATTAAATCTAATTTACACCTGGAAGACAAGTGCATAGGGATATTGAATCTTGTTCTACATGTTGGTCTTATCGCTCCATGAGGCATTGATCTAATCATTGAAACATCAGTAACCTGTATCTTGCAAATATGGCCATAAAAGTACACAGAGCACAGGATGTACAGAGAGGTTTACCCAGAGGAAGACGTCTTCATGTGTTAAATGTCAC